TTTTCTTTCATTAAACATGAACACTTTGAAGAAAGCACAATCCGCTGATGATATGAATTTATGAAAAAGATCACCTTGCGTTTCGGATTCTTTCATGATGCCCTCTAGTTTTTCCCTCGCAAAATTTGCCTCCATGGCCAGCTTATCCCGTTCAGACCTTATCGCGGTTATCTCACTCCTAAAAATCCAAAAACAGATGAAAATAAGCTCAAATGAGTTTATAACAACAATCCACCAGTATGTGCAGGCACGTTTTTGCTAAACTTTTGAGACACTACACTTTCCACATTTTATTTCCTAAGCTAGAAAGCCTAGAATAGTCCATCCAAAAAAATATGTTACATATACAGCAGTAGCCTTGTTGACCATACAAATTTTCTTTCACAAAAAAAAATTCATAACTTGTCTGTTAAGTGAAATATATAAGCCACGAGGACGATAAAACATAGCTAGCCTTTGCTAAATCGTCTTCAAGACTTTGGACACATACAAGAGCTATTTCTTGGGCTCTTTTAGTAGCTTCCTGGAGCAACCAAACCAACCCAGTCAACAAGGTGAGTCCCAGACAACTACTTGATATGTGCCAAATGAGAGGAAATGTGCCATACCTGTGACGATAGTGTAAGAATCCTCAAGTTTCAGTGGCACTGCAGCTAACAGAATATACATCTTCGTCAAGCCATTTTGAAGAGATTAGTACCACTGAAACTATGTATTCCAAATTATGAACAAAGCATGCAACAGCCTGCGAAGCTTCTTTGCTATTTAGGAAACAAGATGAGATTGTCAGGAAAGCGAATTATGCTTGAAAAGCCAGAGTTCTCTCTAAATTTGGGGCTTACATCCGAAGAATTGAGATATATGAAAATAAGATCAAACTTACGTAATTATCCAAGATCAACCATAACGAGCTAACTTTTTTTGCTTGAACTTGAGATTTCTACCGACTATATATAGTCTTGCATCCCCCACTCATGAACCTTGATGGCATTTGGAATAGAATTTTGGAAAAGGATTATATAATTCGAAGATCAGACTGAAACCTCATTTAATTAAAACTTAGCCGATGAAGTCAACGATTGAAGATATGCAAGAACACCTAGTCACTAAATTTGTTTCTCCATATTTGATTGTTTGTTTCTCCATATTTGATTGTTCTGATACGGAATCCTGAAGTCTTTGTTCGACTAGAAAATAAGCTTCAACCATCCGGTCATAATCAGCTGGGAACGAAAACAGATTGGACCAAATATAGGTTTAAAGATGATGCTTTGCACAAGATCAAAATAATTTTTTGACACAGGTGAAAGAAATCTTTAGGAGCACAGAAAGATTCAATGCCAAAATGTGTGGGGCTTTCCAAGCGCATGTCCAACTCCCTGATATTGTCCGCTTTGGGCCCAAGTGGCAAAGCGCGCACGGATTTGTCTTTGGCTCCTTCCCAAAAGGTCTCATACTAGCTAGTTAGAGTTGGACATTACTTATATATTAGACCATTTTTGTCTAAACTTTTGATGTGGGACTTGGATTGATATCCCAACAATATGCCAGTTTAAAGATCAAATCTAACGAGAAGCAGGTAAATAAGATTAACATCTAAACTCAAATGGTCATTCATACCCGTTGTAGTATCGACTCAGCTTCCTGTCGACCTAATTGCTCATGCCTCAAGGCATCAACAGCCTCTTGATACTTCTCATAAATTTTGGCCAGCTACAAAACAAGAAAAAGCGATAAAGATG